AAGAGGATGCCAGCACGTTTCGGGGAGAGGTGTGAGGATGAGCCAGAGAAGGGGAGGGGAAAAGAGATGGCGGAGCGGGTCAATCAGCAGCATTCGCAAAACCGTGCGCCAACCAACGCTGTGTGAGCACGACTTGGGCCTCTGAATCTAGCTCCGACCCCCCGGTCCAGAGACTGAGAAATCTTCTCCGCGAGGCCTCCCTACCCACACTCTGGCCTCGCGCCCGGCAGGAGGCGGCAACGATTATACCCGATCCGAGCACCCAAATCGCAGCAAAGCTGAAGAGGCGGGTCCAGGAGTAGGACATCGACTATACAGTCGGGGTGTTGACCTAAAGGAACCCTAAATAAGGAACGAGGCCCCTATTTCCCATAAGTTGAACTTCGATTTCCCATCGAAGCCCTAAGCAAAACCAAAGGCGAACTGCAAAACAACTAAAGAACACCGAGCCCCTCCCCAAAGAAAAGGGTTTCTTCTTCAGGGCCCCGACTGTAGCGAACGGGGGGGGATCACGGCCATGTGCAGCTGCGTATTATTTTTGTACCAAGGATCGTAGCCGTCTGGACCAAAGATGTAGCCGGCATTGAGGGGAGGGCATGTTTCCTGAATGGACTCGTGAAGAAGTCTCGGGCGAAACGGCTGCTGGACCAGACGATCGAGAGCTCCCCGTCCCCGCCGTGGCACTCTCCTATGGTTCTTCTTAGCCTCTGTGAGAGAACTCTAGCGAAACGCTGTTGAGGAGAAGCGAGGCCGTTGGGAAGCTCACCTCGAGCGCGCCGCCTCGCTTCTGGCGCACTCTGCACCGTCGGCGCCACTGCCAGGGAGCTCGCTCCGGGCGCGGCTCGCGACGGGCGCACGTCGCGCTGCGGGCGTTCTTGCGACGCTGTCGTCAGGAAGTTCATTCTCAGCGTGCTCACCAGAGCCCAGCGCACGTCTCATTGAAAACGAAGTCGGCGGGAAAGTAAGCTCGAGCGAGCTGCCTGGCTTCTGGTGAACCTCTATCTGCTAGCATGTTGCCCGGCAACTCGCTCCGAACGTGCAAGGTCGAGTCCCGTGCATACCGCATTGCCAGCGTCGTCTACAGGAAGCTCGGGCAGACGGCGCCATCTCGCCACAAGGAGGAGAAGGAAAGATGGAGCACGGGTGCCTAGTGCCTCATGTTTTCTCTTTGCTCTCTCTTCCTCCCTCCTCCCTCCGCCTCATCCCTCCTCTCCCCTTCCTGCTGCCTCTCTCGTCCACGCCCCTCATCCCTCCCTCCACCCTCCTCCACTTGGTCATTGCCACGGATTCTCGGAACATCACACTTGCAACCCTCCGCTTACCTTCATCCACGTCCTGCCCACCTCCTGATGCTGCTCCCGCTCCCCCTTCTCTGCGCCACACTGTCCTATCTCTCGCGACGAATACAGCGAATGGCTCCCAACCATTGTCAAGGCCCTGCTGCGCATCGACCCATCATCCAGGAGGAGACACGGAGGCCGCACATAGCCCCTGGGAAGCCTCAGAATGGCCTTCGGGTACCCAAGACGCCCAAGACCAGCCAAGGACGGCCTGGCCTCAAGAGTTCCCAGCGGCAGTGCAAATGGACAATCGGAGTCGCTGGATAATCGGAGCTCCCCGCGGCGACGCAAGTGAAATGCAATCGTACACTCGGCAGTAAATTGCTGCATGCGCTTCTTGTTACATACGGTCGGGAACTTTTGGGTAGCGTGTCGCCGCGGCGGCCCCCTCGACACGCTATGCCGCTATGCCTTGCAAACTGATGGCGTGTCGCACCGCTCCGCGGGGCGGGAGGCTCGGAAAATCTCTGAAAATGGACGCCCGGGGACCGGGAAGTGGGTAGCGTGTCGCGCTGATGCGCGGTGGGCCAGAGCCGGCGGAGCGACGCGCTATCTGAAAGTTCTCGACTGTACTCGGAGCGCCCCGCGGCAACGCAAATGCCATGGGGGGGGAGAGGTCGCAGTGACCAGTGCTCGGCCTCTGCCTGCTCCCCCTGCCCCCGCTGCTCCTGCCAATTCTCGACCGGTACGATCGGCATCCTGGATCCTCTCCTCCCCCCTCCTCCTCCCTCCTCCTCCTCCTCCTCCCTCCTCCTCCTCCTCCCTCCTCCCCTCCTCCCTCCTTCCTCCTCCCTCCTTCCTCTCCTCTCCTCCCTCCCTCCCTCTCCCCCTCCCTCCCTCCCTCCCTCCCCCCCCTCCCTCCCTCCCTCCCTCCCTCCCTCCCCCCCCCTCCCCTCCCTCCTCCTCCCTCCCTCCCTCCCTCCCCCCCCCCCCCTCCCCCCATCCCTCCCTCCCTCCCTCCCTCCTCCTCCTCCCTTTTCCTGGAAGCGCCCTTACACCGCCTCCTCCTACTCCTCCTCCCCCTTCCTCTTCCACCTCCCTCTTCGCCCTCTGCTCCACCTTCTCCCCCTCCTCCCCCTCCCTTTTTCATCGTCATCTCACCCGCTGGTCCCCCCCCGAGCCCCCCTCCAGCATGGCTCGGTGCGGCAGCAGCCACCGCA